CTCCTGCAGGACTGGGGTGGTCCCACTGCCTCCCTCCCACGCCCTTCAAGCCTCCACGGGTCTGCCTGACCACAGGCCCGTGAGAGCTCCGGGTCAGGAGGAGGTGGGCGAGGACACAGGCCTGCAAGAGAGGGTCCTTCCTTAGTGCGTTCTCGCTCACGGGCCTGCGCTCATGCACAGCAGAGGCTGGCCTCAGAGGGGCAGGGGAGCCACGACTGTCACAGGAAGGGGCCCCTGCCCAGAATCTCTGACATCCCCGCAATAGAACAGAGTACAGCCCTCGAGCTGGAGGAGACTCTACAGGTGGACTCTTCCAACCGGCCCATCTCACAGACAGGGACACTGAGGCCGAGGAAGAAGGGGGTGGTTAGTGGCCAGGTCCACTGCTGGCCCTGAGCTGCAGACCCAGCCCTGGAGTCCAGGTCCAAGGCCTGCCTGTGCCCAGCAGACAGCACATCCCAGGGATAGAGAGAGCCTGGGGCAGCCCTTCTGCGGGCAGGACCAGAGCCCCAGAGGACAAGGAGCTGGGAGGGCCAGGCTGGAGTACCAGCGAGGGCTTCTCTCAGGCAGTCATGTCCCCGCAGCACCCCAAATTCAACCTGTCCCAAACCAATGGATGGTCTCCCTTCCAAACCAGGCCCTCCCCCGGGTCTCGCCCCTCTGCCAAGCGCTTACTAAGGCCTGTTGCTCCCATCTCCTTCACCCAACCGCTCCCTCTCTGTCACATACCTGCCACTGCAAGCCACTGCTATCCTCCTCCGCTCTGCCCACGGCTTCTGCTCTTGTCCCTTCTTCCTCCAAAGAGCTACCATCTGATCCTAACCTCACCCCTGTGCAGGACACTCTCCCATGGCTCCCACTGCCCTTGGGATAGAGGCCACAGCCCACACGGCCCTGCTCAGCCTGGCCCAGCCCTCTCCAGCCTCACATTGCATGCAGCTCCTCCTCCTTCTTGCCCCCACCTTCTCTCTGTACCTCCATGCCACCTCAGGGCCTTTGCACAGGCTCTTCCCATGGGGCCCAGCTGATGCCTACTCATCCTCGGCCCTGCACTGCCTCCTCCCTCCCATCCCACCCAGAGACCTGCTCATTCCTGGAAAGTCTTCGTTCTGCTACCCGACTCAGGGGGCCAGTCCCACCGTGACCCAGACAGGAAGGGCCAAGGGGACACAGCTGCTCCTGGAAGGGGTTGGCAGGAGCTGTGGTGGAGGCCCACCCACCGCAGTTGGGGGGTCAATGTACTGGAAGGGGGTGGGCACTGAGCTCTCAGCCCCTGAGGAAAGGCCCCCCATGGAGGATGCTCAGGGCCTGCAAGGGGCGCCATGTGTTGTCAAAGGAAAACACAGCTGCCTCCCACACGCACACTCACTCACCTGTGTCTGAGTCTTCCGGTTCCTTACCACAGGCACGTGCTGCCTTTGGAATAAGATGCACTTAGAAATTGAGTGCGTGGGGCCCTAACGGAAGATAGGTGAGCTCTGGTCCCCTCATGGAGGGCTTCCTGGTGTAGGGGGCATTTCCACCACCCTCCCTTCCTCTCCTCTTACAGAACATCTAGGCTGGTAGGGAGGAAGTGAGTGGATGAATGAGCCAGAGATCTGGGGCATCCCCAGGAGACAGAGTCTGAGGCCTGAAAAAGAGGTGGCGGTGGTGGTGAGGCGTGCTGGAGGGGAGGAAAGGACTGGAGAGTTCCGTGGGAGCATCAGGTTCCATGTGCGCCTGCAGAGAGGCGGTGCAGGCTTGACCCCAGGTGTCTGGATGGTCCCCAGGGCCTGGTGTGTGAGGCCTGCGAGGAGGAAGGCAACCTTGGGGGCATGCAGGGGGTGCTGTCCTGCCTAGAGGCACTGGGAGAGCCTGGATGGAAGATTTAGGGGTCCCCTCATTTTTCCAGACCTCGGGATCCCAGGTCTCCTTGCTCTGCAGCAGGCAGGGTCACCAGGCCAGAGCGGCAGCTTGGGGAGTTGGCCCCATGTCACCCTGCCAAGGGACCACAGTCCTCAGCACAGGTGAGAGAAGGTGGGCCCAGCCGGCAGGACAGCCACCTGCTGCTTAGGACAGACAGCTCAATCGATATGAGCGTCCAGCACACGGCCTGCCTGCGTCTCTAGGCCCCGGAATGTGTGGTGCCCAGGGCTTTTCTCCATAAAGAACTGTCTGGAAGTCAGCCGGAGGGTCGGTGAAGTGGACCTTGTGGGATCTACTCTGCAGGGCCCACCTCAGACGTCACCTTGGCCTGCTTCCCTGGAAAACAGAGGCTGTCCAAGGGGGTCCCCCAGCCTGCTCCCACCTCCCCCCTCTCAGCACCCTGGACCAGCTTCTGCTGACCTCTCCTCACCCCTGAACCACATGCATATCCCTTCAGTGCTCCCAGCCTCTCCCTCCCTCCGCTCCCCTCCAGAACGGGGGCTCCGGGAGCCACTCCCCAGGAGACCCCTCTCAGCGTCCTCGTGGGTCCCTCATTCCTTGGGATCCCACTGAGATAACTTTCTCACCTGCTTCTCCCGCATTCTGTCTCCTCGGGGGGCCTCAGGGCCCGGTCCAGAGCATCCCTCATCGGCCACGCTCATGTTCAAGGCTGAGCTCCCACGTTGGTGAAGGCATGTCCATCTGGACTCTTCCTCTCCCTCGTGCCCGCCGTTTTCCTGGTCACGGGGACCTTGGCAGGGCTGTACCCACTGTCCTTCCCAGGCCACATCCCCCGGGGCTGCTCCCTGCCCTCCTCCTGAGCCCTTTCCTGCTCAGCTCCCACCCCACCCCAGCCTCCCCAGGCCCCCCTGGCTGGGTCTACCTTCCCTCTCTGACCGCTGAAGGTCGACTCCCAGGCCTGGCCTCTTCTCTTCTCCATCTAGCCTCGCCCCTTGGGCATCTCATGCAGGCCCAAGGCTACAAAGGCCATGGTCTACTAACGACTGACACCCACATCTGGACAGCCTGACTGACCTCTACCCCTGCACCACACTTGGATTTTTCCAGACAGATGTCACACAGACGCCTCGAATTCAGTGAGGCCAGAACAGGACTCTCCATCTGCCCGCCTTTTCCCCAAGCGGTATCCATTTCAGTAACGGCCTCCGCCTTCCCTCCGCTCTGTGGCTCAGGCCTTGAAGTCATCCTTGCCTCCTCCCTTACAGCTCTGTCCAGTGGGCCAGCAAACCCACATCCCACCCCTCATCGCCCTCCAGGCTCCACACTGCCCAAGCCACCAATGTCCCTTGTAGCTCCCCCTGCTCACTGATTGCTCTGGCTGTCCGCTGTCCTCACAGCAGCCACAGGGATCTTTTTCAAGTGACAATCGAGCATCACCTCTTCACAGAGGCTTCCCAGATCTGCCATCTAGCATGGGACCCATGACCCGATCCTCATGTGGCTGTTAATTCCGTCAGCGCACTGTCCTGTTTACACTAGCTCTCATGTTAGCACAGGCCTATGACTGCTTGTCTCCTCGGCTCCACCATGAGGGACAGCGTCTCTGTTGGCGGCTGGTCCTTGCCAGCTTGCCACGAGGAAACCAGGTCGTCATTGGCCACATGTTCTTCCTCCTGGCCACCACAGCCACCACAACAACTGCCACATGCTCAACCGAGGGGCCTGCTCATTGGCCCGAGTCTCAACTTGCCCTTGCCCCCGTCCTGTCCCCGGCTCCCCGCCTCCTCCTCCTGTTGGTTACCTGGCCCAGGGCTGCGCCCTCTACCCTGGGTGCACTGAGCCTCTGACGCCAATTGCCCGAAGGTGGGCAGGCTGGGCTTGGAGTCAGGTTAAAGAGCGCGCTGGAGGTCAGGCCACGTGGGCCTGGGAAGGGTCAGTAGAAGCCGGGGCTGGCGGCCAAGTTCCTGCAGGTGCCAGTGAGGTCATCAAACTCTCTGCTCACCTTGAATCCTGAGGAGAAACCCAGCACAAGGGAGCACATCATCACTTTCTGAGAACTTGACTTGTACTTACACACACAGGGTCTCGCAGAAGCTCCTCAGGAAATCTTCTCTCCTCTGGATGATGATGTCATTACTCCCCAAACTATTCAAATAGAGAAAGGGAGGGGGTCAAAGGGGCTTCTGGGGGTCTGCTCTGTTTCTTGATCTGGGGGCTGGTTACATAGGTCTATGCTGTTTGTGAAAACTCACCAGGCTCTGCCGTTAATCCAGTTGTACTTTTCAGCATAAATGTTCTTTCTTAATGAAAAATGAACCAGGGACTGGCCCGGTGGCACAAGCGGTTAAGTGCGCGCGCTCCGCTGTGGTGGCCCAGGGTTCGCCGGTTCGGATTCCGGGCGCGCACCAACGCACTGCTTGGCAAGCCACGCTGTGGCGGAGTCCCATATAAAGTGGAGGAAGATGGGCACGGATGTTAGCCCAGTCTTCCTCAGCAAAAAAAGAGGAGGGTTGGCAGATGTTAGCACAGGGCTGATCTTCCTCACAAAAAAAAAAAAAAAAGAAAAGAAAGAAAGAAAAATGAACGAAGGAGGTTGGGGGAAGAGACGAGGACTGAGTCTTTCTCTGCATAGGCTCTTTCCGTGGGGTCTGTCATCCCATCCGGTCTCACAGTGACCCTGGCTGGTAGGTACGAGCCCCGTTCCACACAAACACAAGGCTGAGTCCTGGGAAGGGATTTACATGGACTGCAAGGATTCAGAAGGATTCCCCTTAAAGCTGAGGATACAATCTGGGCTCCACAGATTAGACTAATGATAACAGTGAAGGAACAGGAAATAGAACATTGTACCTAGACTAGTGCTGATCTCTGATTCAGAATTCAGGATCCAACGTTGATGGATCAGGATTTGGTTCCAGGCCTGTCTGACTCCAAACCCCACGGGATTTCCATTATACTAAAGCTTCTGATAATAACCACACATCATATTGAATCAGTATGTATTGTTGCAGGACAATTTCATACGTCACTCCATTGGTTTTAGAATGATAGAGTCCATGCTGACAGGCATTCTCAGAGCAGAGGGAACACGGTCAAGGCAAGCTCACCTCTGCCTGTGGAGCCGTAGAGACGAGGCAGGTAGAAGGAAACAAGGACCTTCAGCACCAGGTGTCCCAAGCCTGAGGGCTGAACTGTGAAAACACATCTCTGGAGAGGCTTTGACTCAAGTCTGGTTGGAAATAAATCAGGGTGAGAATAAGCAGTGATACGGGGCTAGACTTTCTTTTAATAATTTGTATTTGGGGATTCTCTCCTTAATGTTTAAATGCCTTTAAAATGACACTTTGTTCTACATTAAAAAGGCAAAAAAGAGTGAAAAGGGGTCCTGGTCTCCCTTACAGCCACACAAGGGAATCTTCCAGCACCACAATCCACCTGCAGGCAGGACAGGCTGGGGGGAAGGGCCGCCTTGCAAGGGTTGAAACTGCAAATCCAAACATCAGAGAAGTGAGCATTGATACTGACTCAAGGCAAGGCTCACATAAGGGAGCCATACTGTAGAAACGAAAAACCCTACTGTAACTTTGAATGACCTCTGACAAACTAACCCAGCTGGACATGCACCCTCCAGGAGATCTAACTGCTCTGCTTGACCCCTGCTTGTGCACGTACCTCCCAGCTGTGATAAGATGACAACTTTGTTCTTTCGAGTTCCTTAGGAATGTGATGACCCCCGAACAGAGTCTATGCTGATAGCCATCATCAGTGAAAACTGAAAGATCTGGTGTGGCGCTCCCAGTCTGTAACACCAGAGGGTCATCATTCCTAATCCTCTCCCCTATAACCCATCAGCCTATATAACTGCTGTAAGATTTTGTGCCCCCTTCAGATGTTTCTTTGAGACTTTAGTTGGCTATCTTCTCTTTTGCTAGCAAGCTGTAATAAACTGCCCTTTCTTTTCCACCATCTTGCCTCTTGACGATTGGCTTTTGTCTCACAGCGAGCAGACCGTGCCCTTTGTGTGGTAACAGCATCACGCCCCTGAGTCAGCTATTCTCTCTCTGACAACAAAGAACCCAGGCAGGGGTCCAAGTTGAGACAGGGCAGCACCCTAGTCAGGAGCAGGAGTGGAGCTGGGGGGCGTCATGACCCACATTCAGGCCTGGGCTGGAACACGGACTTGGCCATGCCATGGATCTGGGCAGGGCGCTCTAGTTCTCTAATCCCCTTTAAATGATCCCTCACAGGGCTGTTGGGAGTGTCCAAGGTGCGGTTTATGAACAGCTCCTACAGAGATCCAGCAGTTCCAGGGCAGACACTGGACTCTCCTGGACAGACCTGAGAACACCAAAGCAGCCTGCACTTCGCATGGGATTCCTGGACACCTAAGAAACCCACATGCACACACTGAGAACAGCTGAGCCCCAGGAGGCCAGGAGAGCAGTGTGAGAGGAAGGAGGGATTCCTCATCTCTGATGACATGGCCGAGGACGGCCCCACTGTCTCTGCTCAGAAGGAATCTCCATGGACATAATGCCCTGGGTGAGGCTGCAGGGCTGGGGAGAGCGGAGGGGAGAGAGTGCTGGTTGAGTGCCCACCCAGTGCCGGCTGTGCTGGGGACAAAGGTTCAGACACATAAGACACACTCCTGCCCGTAGAGAGCTTACCCAGTCGGGGAGGAGAGGACAAGGAACCTCATAAAAATGCAGTGTGATAAGTGCAATAGAGAGTGTGCCCCAGCTCCCCCTGGAGTAAAGGTCGGATGGGGACAGAGCCCCTGAGCTGAGCTCCACAGGTGAGGTGGGGGGAGCCGGGCATTTCAGCAAGAGGAGCAGCAGGAGCAAAGCAGAGGTGAGATCCCGCCCCGTGTGCACGGAGAATCCCAGGCAGCTGGGAGTCAGAGGATGGGTTTCAAGGTGGGAGGGAAGAGGGGGATGGCAGAGCCCAGATCCTGCGGACGTGCTGTGAGTGACACACTACTGAGCTTGGATTTATCCAGAAGGGAGCCGCTGACAGGTGTAAATCAGGAAGGACAGGGACACGTTTCTGGTTTAGGAAGATCACCTGGGAGCAGGTGGGAAGGAAGGGCCAGAGAGGAGAAAGCAGCAGGACCACAGGACTGGGGGAGGGGAAGTGAGAAGGAGGAGCAGGCAGCCTGAGCGCTCTGCAGGAGGTGAGATGGAGGAGGGAAGACGCTGGAAAGAGAGGGAGGGGAGAGCAGTGGGCCCCAGCTTCTGAAGGGAAGGAGTCCCCTGACCAGGAGGCAGCCCTTAGAGGGAGACAATGCCTTCAGGTCGGACCCTCAGAATCCGATGTGCCTATGGGCCATCTGGGGGACTGTCTGCCAGGGGGCTGGAAATGGGGATCCAGAGGTTAAGAGAGAATATGTGTTGCAGCCAAGGGCAGGAGAGGTGTGAGCCTCAGGCTGGAGATGGGGGTGCTGTAGGGGGCTCCTCTGCCAGTTGAGGGAACTGAGGGCCAGGCAGGGCTGGATCCCCTGGAGCTGGTGGTTCTGTCCTCTGAGCACATGCTGTTGGCACAGTGGTCCTCGTGGACCTGCTCCACCCTCAATCACACCCTCCCTTCTCTGTCTTTGGCTCTCAGCCCTGCTCAGCAGCTCCCTCCCCACTGGCAACCCTGGAGGAAGGAACCCCTGCTGTGCACTCAAGGCCTCAGGTAGGTCTGAGCCTGGGTCCAGCAAGGCCAGAGGAAGAGCAGAGGAGAAGATGAAGGGGAAGCAAGGGTGCCCTGGCCATCTTCAGCAGAGCAGCACCCAGTGGGCTGAGAAGGAGGAAGGGCAGCTGGGAGGGAAGGAGGGAGGGGGAGGAGTCTGCAGAAGGGCATGGGCCAGGCCAGATGGGTGAGTGAATGGCAGAAGGCAGAAGTGGTCACAAGAAGAAGCCAGGAGGCTCCCTCCCCATCTGGATCCTTGAGCGAGCGTCCCCTGCTACCACTGGGGTGGGGAGATGTGACAGAGGAGGGATCTGTGTGGACAGGCACAGGCAGGTCTGTGTGCGGCCTCCCCCATCAGACTAGCACTCCCAATAGGAACCTCAGTGTCTGGGTGACCCGGAGGCCCAGGCCCAGGCTCAGGGCTCCCAACGCGGAGATGCGGTTGTTGCTGCAACAGAAAGACACGTGCGTGGTGCTGCCTTGCACACAGATCTCCCCAGGGTCCCAGCTGGAGCTGCTGGTGCATCCACCGGGTCAAGCTTCACATTCCAGCCTCCACACACACCCTGGGGACCCCTGGGCAGGTCAGTGAGTAAAAGCTGGATAATGACTCTGCTTCATCAGAGGCTCCCAGTGTTCAGGGAGATCCCCCAGCAAACACGCCTAGAGCGTCCCTCCCCTGGTGGAGACCAGCAGCTGCTCCCTGGCCCTCAGAGCTCAGCAGCTGCTCCCACATGTTCTGCCCCAGCTGGCACCCTGTACCTATCACCATGACAACATCTGTTCTGGAAAACCCCCCAGCTCCCTCCCCACGTCCTCGCCACCTCCTCCTCCTCCCCCTCCTCCTCCTCCTGCTGGACCTGAGCTCCAGGCCTCAGCACCGCTCTTGGCCACTTTGTCTTGGAGCCAGTCCCACTTCTCTCTGACTCCTCAGACCCCAGCTCTGGCCTCAAATTTCAGCATCTCCTGTGGCCTCCTCTGGCCTTGGCTCCTTCCATGGGGAGAAAAGGTGGGCAAGATTGCAGCGGGCAGGCCCTGCTCACTCCAGCAGCCCATGACCTGTTGGGTCTCTGCCTCTTTCCTTCCCTCTGGCTTGTGGCCCCTGCTCTGGTGACCTGCTGAGGCTTGGGACCCTGCCTGGGCCTGGAGGGACAGCCCACACAGCAGGCCCCCAGCAGCCACGTGCTGAGCAGAGCATGTGAGCTGCACCCACCCTGCACCAGGCTCTCTGAAGATGCTTGACACATACGTGTACGATTCCCAGCCCCCTGCCTGTGCAGTGGGAATTACAAGCCCCAGTGTTTGAATGATGAACTCAAGTGAGAAGGATGGAGCTGGGCGCTCTCGGATTGCAGCTCAGGTCCCATCATGGGTAGACTGTGGTAGGTTTGGGAATTAAAGTGGTGAACAGCAGCCAGCTCACGGGGCCCTGGTCCCTGGGATGGCTCTGGGCCTGGAGACTGTGACACAGGGGACACCCCACATGCTTCACCTCATATTGAGTTCCTCTAACACATTGTCAATCTTAAGTGCCTCACCCATCCCAGAGGCTCCAGGATCTCCAAAGCCACTGTATGGGATGTCCAGGACTCTCAGGGAGATATTTGCCTGGAATGCAAAAGAACGAAGCCATGGGACCACATGTGATGGTGGAGAAAGTCAGGGGCCACAGCCTCAGAGCCCAGGAGGCCCGAGGTGGAAAGAGCACGGACACAGTGTGGAAGGGCAGAGTCCAGGTTAGAGTCTTGTGGCTTGGATGGTGGTGAGCAGTGGAGCTGAACCCCTGGAAGCACAGTGGAGAGAGGGTGTGGATGTGAATGACCCTCAGAGCCTGGGGGGCTGCCACACAGCAAAAGGAGCCAGAGACACAGTGATCAGGCCCCATGCCCACTTGGGGGCCTCTCAAGGGCAGGGATCCTGAGGCACAGAGCAGAGCAAGGGCCCAGGGGGCTCCAGTGAAGGGCTGTTGGGGGGCTGCGATGGGGAGAAGGGTGGAGCTTGTGGATGTGCTGGGAAGACAGAGCCTGACCTGCCACCTTGTGGGCAGGACCCCAGGTCAGCCCTGTCAGAGGGCACAGCAGTGGCTGCTGTTCCTTGAGGAGGACCCACAAAGGGAGCCGGCATCAGGAGCCCTGCGCCACCCTGGCAGGGACTGGAGCCACCCGTTCCTGAGGCCTACAAGCCACAACCTCCAAGGGAGTAGGTGGGCTGTTGAGAGTGTGCTGGGACCCAAGGGTGCCAGGGTGTCATCTCAGGAAACATCTGTGTATGCCCAACAGCCAGCATGTGTCACCACACTGCACCATGTCCCCACCAGCCGAGTATGTGATGTCTGGGGAAGGTGTGGGACAGTCACCTTCGGACCCCTCAGTAAGTGATGTGAGAGTGGGCACAGGAGATGGAACATTGTCATCATTAAGTGGAGCTGGGAACATTAAAGTCAATTAAAGAAATATTCTTGAAGCTCTGCTGAAAAGATGCAAGGTTTATTTCTGAAGAGCTGCAGAGACGGAGAGCTGGCATCTGGGAGACCTGCCCCCAAATGACAGGCCAGAGGGGCAGACGGGTGGGGGCCTCATACCTCTAGTCCTCTGGCAAAGGCTACGGCACCTGGGCCTCGGTGATTCCAGCTCATGTAAAGCTTGGTGAGTCCTGTGTTGTCTGCCAGAGTTGGTCCAAGTGTCTCCCCTTCAGAAACACCAAAAAAGACCTTCTTATTCACTGTTTATTCCTTCAAAAAACGATACTGATGCCTGCTGTGTGCCAGGGTCTTTGCTGGCCGTGAGGGTCAGGGGGTTGAACCCAACATGGGCCTGACCTGCCCTCAAGGATTTCACATGTAACGGGAGAGACGTAAATACAAATTAGTGGGATGTGAGCTATTCTAGATGACAAACAGAAAGGCGTGGGAACAGAGTAGGGGCTTACCCTGCCTGAGAGGTGGGTCAGGAAAGTGAGGACAGAGGAGACAATCTTGAAGACTTAGGGACTCCCCATGCATGTGTGCAATGCACAGTGGAGAGCAGACACAGGAAAGAGTGAATTTGTGGAGGCTGAGGGACCACGGGGCACTTGTAGAAATGCACACAGGCCTGGCACTGGTGGCGGGAGCTGGAAGCCAGTGAAATGAGATAGGAGCCATGGGCACTTGAGAGATGCTGAGAGCCTTGAATGCTAGGACAAGGGTCTTGGGCACCACGCTATTGGGGGTGAGGAGGCAGGGAGGGCTTTAAGAGGTGACAAGGCTAGATTCCTTAGCAGTGGGTATAGGGGATGGACTGGGGTGGGCAGGGGCAGAGGCAAGAGGCCAGGGGACTGTTGGGAGGTGTGTGCGATAGTCTATAGGCAAGAAGTGACAGGGCCAGTGCAGCTGTGGTGGAGAGCAGGCAGTGGTGGTAGAGAAAGGAAAGTGGGGTCCTGTGGGGTTAAGAAACCCTGAGAGATATTCAGCATGTAAAATGGGCAGACCCCACCCAGCCACCCACCCTGCTCTCCACTCTGTCAACACTCAGCGAGTCTGGCCTGAGTCTGGGAAGTGCCGGGAGCAACATGTCTCTGGGCTGTCGCCCTGTGAGGAACTGTTGACCCTTCTTCACCTGGCTGACAGCTCTTCATCTTTCTAACCTGGAGGCACAGTGTCAGGAAAGCTTGCCCACCCGGCGGCTGGGCTGGGCCGCCTCAGACCTCACGTCCACTGTGCTTCCTTCCTTCCAGGCTCTGGCCATTAACCCTCTCTCTGCCTCGCCAGTCTCTCCCCCAGCCTAGGAGTCCCTCAGCCTTCTGAATATGACCCCTCTCCATGGTGCCAGCACCGAGCACAGGTCTAGTAAGGCTGGTCTGAAGAAATGCACAGGGGAAAACAGATGCACTGACAGAGCAGGATGCTCAGCCAGCCTGCGGGGCCAGAACAGCCTGGGCAGACACTTTCAGAACCTTGGAGAGCTCCCTGCAAGGAGGGGAGGCCCCTGTGCTGCCTCCCTGAGAACAGGGCTCCAGACCCTACGCCCAGCACTGGGTCTGACCCCCACAGGTTCTCAGATAGGGGTACTTTCCTCCTCCTCAGACACTTCCAGGGCTGGGAGGAGAGGGCAGTGGTCTCCCACTTTGTAGGGCATCCCCTTCTTTGGTGAACAGGTGGAGAGTGAGAAGGTTCTACAGGCAGGAATTGGCTTCTTATAGTTGCAATGCTTGGTCTTCATGACCCCTGTAGACAACCTATGTGGCAGGTGCTACAATCGCTGTGGGTCAGGCGGGGAGACTGAGCCCCAAGCTCCTTGACTCTCCAGGGAGTCAGGCCGACCCGCAGATCCCCACCCAGGGAAACAAAATGGCCCTGCTGAGTCTGTCCTTTTCCAGGATGAAGACAGCCCCTCCTGTATTTGAGCAGCCTTCACAGGGCCTTAGCCTCCAGCCCCTCCCTCCTGGCTGCCCCTCTGGTGCTCGCCCTCTGACTGTGCAGGCACAGAGGGATGCCTATATTTAGTTTTCTGAAAGTCTGAAATGAGCTTCTCTTTTAATTTCACCTACTTCCCACAATAATTTCCTTAGAAGGTAAACTGGCTCTCTGGCAGGTAGATTCTAGGGCTGATTCTCACAGGCTGGTGCCACCCCATGCACTCTAAGCAGTTTGAGACAGAGCGGTGACTCCCAAAACTTCTCAATCACACAAATCTCCTGGGGCACCAGCTAAAATGCAAATGCACAGGCATCCTCCCCCAAGAGTCTGGTTCAGCAGATCCAAGGCCCAGGAATCTGTATCCCTAATCCAGCATCCCTGGTGATTCTTATATTTGATTGGAGTAGCTGAGGACAGGCAGGTAGACCTCCAGGTACCACACAAAGCAGACTGCCCGTGCAAAGGCCCTGGGGCATGAGAGAAAGTGGTGAGACCAGGGAATCCCACTGATGTCTTCCACAGACTCAGAATAAAATCTTCATGCCTTTTGCTGTGATTTGTAGCCCTGCAGCCCCCTGTCACCTGTCCACCCCACAGCCTGGCCTCTCTCCCCTGGCCCAACAGCCCCATCATACTGGTGTCCATCAGTCTGAGAAACAGGACTGCGTGTTCACAGTTCCTCTGCGTCAACTGCACTTCCGCTGGTCTTGCTATGGCTGATTCCTCCCCACCCAGTACATTTCAGCTTCAATGTCACCTCCTCACAGAGGCCACCCTGGCCACCTATCTAAGCAGAGATCTCCATTCTTCTCTAGAATCACTCCCTGTTTGTTTCTTTTGTAGCACCAATAATTATTGAGAATGACCTTGTTGATGTGTGTTCCCTGAGGCCAGGGCCTCTGTTGTGTTCATGCTGGGTCCCTAGTGACTAAATCAGCGCCCAGCACAGGGAGCGGGGAGCAATGAGATGTCCAGGGGATGGAGTAAGAGTTCTGTGTGGGAGGAGTGGGGAAGGGGCAGGCTGAAGTGGGACGTGGGGAGAGGGGACAGAGCATGGATGCTCAGAGTGGTCCTGCCAACCTCCACCCACCCCTGCCCCAGGACGACAGGCCCCATGGTGGCCCATGCCGGATGGCACCTGCTTGGTCACTCAGCTGGTTATAGCTCAGGTCCAGGGACTTCAGGCCCGTGTGGGCCAGCAGGAGTTCAGCAAGGTACTGGGGCCCCTGCTCCTCCAGGCCATTCCCTGCCAGCTGTACCCTCTGCATGGCCAGGTTCACTGTGAGGGTGGCACACACAGCCTGGGCGCCCACTGCTCCCAGCTGGTTCTCTGACAGCTCCACATCTGGGGGCCGGCACCAGTCCCCAGTCAGTGGGCTCCAAAGTCAGACACCACCCTCCTCCACCCTCCTCAATCCCCAAACCTTCAGGCCTGAGGCAGTGGAAGGGGCTTTGCAGGCAGACTGTCCTGGGGCTGCGTGGCAACTCTGCAACCCATCGGCTGGATACCCCACCCCCACCCAATGTGTCCACGAGCTTCTTTGTCAAGGGGTTAAACCACCTCCTTTGTGGTGCTGTGGAGGATGCTGTGATGGGGCCACAGCCACCCCATTGATGACTCGTGCCTGGCAGCAATATAACCCCACAGGAGCCCTCACAGCTGCATCTCTGGGGAGATGGCAACGACAGCCCAAGGGGCCATGCACGGAGCACTTACATGGCCAGACACTCTGCTGAGCTTTTAATGCTCATCACAACCCCGAGGGCTAAGTGATATTGTTGAGTCCATTTCACAGATTGGAAACTGAGGCTCAGCGAGGTTGAGCTGATTGCCCAGGGTCACCCTGCTCTTCCCTGGCAGAGGCGGCATTTGGATCCAGCCTCGCCAAACTCCCCCCAGCCGTCCCTCCTCTCTCACTGCCAGCCCCCGTCTCTCTTGATGAAGGACTCTCCCCCTGCAGTCAGGCATTGGGAGGCCACAATCTGCAGGGGGTGCTGCCCAGCAGAGGAGAGGGTGGAGGGGTGAGGCGGATCAGGAAGGGAGTGGCATCCAGCCTTGGGTGCACCACAGAGGGTCTATCTCCACCCCCACCCACTCCACCCTATGATGAGGCCCCTCTCCCAGCAACACCAGCAGGTCCAGGGGGAGGAGGCCTGGCTTGTGGGGGAGTTCATATCCCTCAGGAAAGGGAAGACTCAAGTCTGCCCACCTGTCCCAGGCTTGGAACTTCCCACAGATGCTGCTGCTTTTGCTCAGGGCACCTGCCAGGGCCCCTGTGCCGGCCCCACAGTGCCCACTGTCCCGAATCCAGCTGCTTGACATCGGGATTGGAGGTCAATGCAGAAGGGAGAGCCTGGGGCCCCCTGGCACTGAGGGGCCTGAGAGGCCTGGTCCTTCCCAGGGCTGAAGGCCCCACATATAGCTGGTCTCTACCCAGGCTCCTGTTGCCAGGGCTGAGCCCGCTCGATGCCCTCCAACAGGCAGGCCCTCCCCTTCCCACAGGCCCAGGGGCCACCTGCTTCACCTTCTAGGCTCCACCAGACCACCTGGGGCCTTCCCTGACCCCCAATGCATTAGGGGCCCCTGCAGGCTCCCCAGTCCTTACACTGATCTCCATCAGAGCCTGGATCCCACTGTCCCCCAGATGTGGGGGATGGGACACACCTGGCACAGAGCAAGGCTGGCGAACGTGTGGGGTGGGCTCAGGGAGGGCCACTCCCATGGCTGCTCCTCCAGGTCCTCCCCTCCAAGCCTGGCCCAGGGTCCCTCCAGGGGTACCTGGGGCTGCAGGCCACAACGCTGCAGGCTCAGCTCTGGGGCGCTTCCCTGGTGCAGGGAGCAGGAGGCAGGCACAACGCTGTGGGCCCGGCAAGACCTCAGGTGGACAGTGTCCTTGACCAGTTCTCCAAGCCCATGGGTGCCTGATAGAGACAGGGGTCCATGTGGCCCCCTCCCCAGGCACAGCCGCCTGCCTCCTCCCCTGCCCTCTGTCACTACCCAGCCTGTTTCCCTCTAGAGGCATTTCTTCCTGTGCTAGTAGGAACTCCTGCCCCATATACAGATGGGGACATCGAGGCTCAGAGAAAGCAAATCCTTGCCCCAAAATCACACAGCGAGTAGTAGCTGATCCCGGCAGAGCCAGGCTCAGGACCCCGCCTGCCTGACACCGAAGTGCGTGCTGTGTCCTTTCTATGGGATCGCAGACCACAAATGATTTATGAACATTTTATAGGGGAAAACACTGAAATAATTCTAAGTTCTACACGTCCATCAGCTTAGTTTCTCCTGTGGCTTGGGAAAACCCAGCCCTCATCCCGTTTCAGGAAGGGGTGGGACAGCCCTTCTTAGATGGTTTGGCTAGGTTTCTGCATTTTAACATCATTCTGGAAGCGGGTTCTGAGGGTGGAACAAATGATGCTACCAAGGGCATTTTCAGGAGGGCAGGGGGCTGGAGGGGCCGCCGGCTGTCCTGAAGCTGTCCCACGGAGGGATGCGCTGTCTGCTGGACAGGGGTCCCCTGCCCCTCGGCCCCAGCCCGCCCCCTCCACTCCTGCCTTGAATACCCCTGGTGAGGAGACAGGCCTGAACCCCCTGCCTTCGGCACGTGTCTTCAGGTCTGAGTCTGAATCCGCATCTGAACCCCTCTCGGATTCCGGGACCCTTGCAGGACGCCCAGCAGCCGCGACCGTCTCCTCCTCCTGCTCTTCATTCTCCCCAGACCTCTCGCAGGGACCCCTCATGGTTATGTCCATTTCGCAGCCCAGGGCACTGAGGCTGGGACTGAGCCACGCCCCTCCTAGAGCGCATCCGGGGATGTGGGCGGAGGCGCCGACTGCATGGACCAATCACATGTAGCGTACGATGAACAGTCGCCCACAGCAGCCAGTAGAGACACGCTCCCCGGGGGGCAGTCGCCCGGGCAACCCCGTGCTGTGGGTGCTGCAGAAACCAGCGGTGGCCCACGCTGACCTTGAGCCTGCTCCTGGCCAGGGCTCAGAAGGGCGCGCACCATGAGCCAGGCGCAGGGCTGGGCGCCTTGCAGTCGTTTGACCCCCTGCTATCTGGTGTGGGTCCAGGATCGCCCCCTTCCGCGGACTGGGGACCGTGCCTGACCCCAGAGCTGAGCTTTAGTCCCTGCGCTTGGGGGCTGTGGCAGCTCTGCCTGGCATCGCACAGAGGGGCTGGGGAACCTTACAGAGCCAGCCACCGTCCTCTCTGGAGCCAGAGTCCCGCTCCCACTCTGTGGGCCCCAGTTCTCTCTCAGGCTCCAGCGTTGCATATGCGGCTTCCTCCTCCAGGAACATTCCTCCCCAACTTTGCTTGTTTAACTTCACAATTTGCGGGTGTCAGCTCAGAGGTGCCTTCTTCCTGAAGCTTTCCTTGGTCCCTCCTCTAGGCCGCTGTGATCCCCATGCCACCCTCTCAAAGTACCTATAACAGCTGTCATCCCCTCATGCCCCAAGGAAGTGAGGCCAACGGGCAGGGGAGAGGGGCTGCTCCTCTCTGAGCCCCAGGGCCAGGCAGAGGGAGTCTGGAGAGGAAGGGAGGCCCAGGGCAGCTGGGGGTGGGGACTGAGCCCAGGGCGGAGGTGGGGCTGGGTCCTGCCCCCAGTAGGAGTGTCCCTTTACCAGCTGCTGGCCTGGCCTGGCCTGGGCGCCTGCTTTTCCTCCTGTTCAGCTGGGGCTGCAGCTGCTCTGCTGACCCTGCTCCCCGGCAGCCAGCAGGAGCTGAGGGCACGGGCTCCCCGGGGGCTGTGATAGGCTGGGGCCTTCTGGATTACAAACTGACAAGTAGGTGATGACGAGGAACTGGGGGGTGGGCGCCCCACAGAGGCTGCTGCAGCTCGGGGTCCTGGTCTCTGTGGTGGGGTAAGAGAGTGGCTCCTGGGCAGGTTGGCTGGAGGGACTGTAACTGGTCCTGCTGGGCTGAGGGTGGGGATGTGACTCCTCAGGGGCTGGGCTGGTGGTAGTAGAGGGGGCAGGTTGGCCCTCTCTGGGGGCAGAAGGAGTGATCTCCGTCTGTCTTGAGGCAGCAGGTACAAGAGCAAGGCGTGTGCTCGTGTCCTCCTGTGTGCCCACCTGCCTCCTTTCCTGGACCTTGTCCCCAGCCCCCTGTTGGGCTCTGGGCACAGAGCAGGATGGGTCTCACTCTGCCCAGGAGGTCCTGGGAGGGGCAGGAGGTAGTCCCTGACACCTGTGAGAGCTGGAGCCCTGGGGCCCCTGAGAAAGACTACAGTGGTGGCTGGGTCAGGGGAGCCTTTAAGGAGGGAGCTGGGTCTGGCTGGGGCAGGGGAGGGTGAAGGCTGGTGAAGGAGTTGGTGGTGGGCATCTTGTGTGAGAGCCCTGGCTCTCCGACACGTGGCCGGGGTTTCTGGCCTGTGCAGGGTGTTTGAGGTAGAAATGAGGCTGGAGAAGAGGCAGGGGCCCTGAATGCTGTGCTGGGAGCCTACAGGGTGTAGGGGCTGAGTGGGTGGGGCCAAGCTCTGCCACTGCTCACCATGTGCCGGGGACACACCACACTGCCCATCACCTCCTCCCCAGGTGGGCTGTCATTGCCACTAAAGCCTACCAAGAGCAGGACCTGGACCCCAGATTTCCGTCATCACCAAACTCAAAGGGGTTTCTGTGACCCAGATCGAGGAGCTGGGGAACCGGCTGTGGACGTGGCCGAATTCATGAAGCCGCCACAGGTGGGTGCCTTGGTGCTGCTGCCAGGCGCTGACACCTCTGATCCCACCCATGCAGCGAGTGTGTACAAGAAGGGCCTGTGATGCTAGAGGGGGTGCTGGCGCTGTCACAGGGCCAGGCTCAGGAAGGGCCTGACAGAGGAGTGGCCCTGGACAGGGCTCTCAGGGATGCGTAAAAAGTTTCCAGGTGGACAAGGGGACGGGGCAGGAAGCCAGGCCAGAAGTACTGCATTCACAAAGGCTGCACCCATAAGAGTGGGGAGTCTAGGAACTCAAGGCTTGAGCTTGAGGCAGGGGTCAAGGGGTGGAGGGGCAGGGGCCAGGGCCTGGAGCTCCTGAGTGCTCTCCTCCCTGACCTGGGCCCTGTGGTCTGCCTCCTCTGTCCTACTCATGCTGCATTTCCAGCCCCTTCTTCATCCACCCAGATCCTCTACAGCCCCCGTTTCCACCTCTGTTCTGTTGATGCCCCAGTTGTAGCCTCGGTGACCACCTGCCCCGAGCACAGCTGCCTCCTGATGCGCACCCACCACGTCCAAGGAGAAACCCTCTCCCTCTCCCAGTGCAGCCTCTTTGCATCCACTGAGGGCCATGCCGTCTACCAGGGCCAAAGCTGGACCCGGCTCCCCACCTCCCTGCCCCTCCTCCTGTCCATTCCGTCTCCTGTCGGGTTTCCCTGCTGCCCCCGCTGTGCCTGTGGTCTGCTTGTGGGCCCCCAGGTGCACTCCACGCAGCAGCCAGGCTGAGCCTTCACAGGTGACACCATCAGAGCCGGCCAGCCCTTGCTTCCACCCTGGGAAGGGTCCCTTTACGTGATGGTGGCCACCAAGTCTAGAGACCTTTTTGCCACCCTGGTGCTGCGTTCCTCCTGCTGCCCCTGAGCCAAGGTCCCTGGACAGGAGCATCCACTCACCACCTGGCAGAACCATGTCTGTGAGAGTGCCTAACCCTTGAGGGTGCTTCCTCTCCAGTTCAGGGACTCCCAGAATGCTCACCACCGTCCCCTCCTGGCTGAATCCCAGAACTCGGTGACCGTGTGCAGGCACTAATGTCCCTGTTTTACAACAGAACAATCTGGGAAGGGACTAGCCTGTGGTCCCTTAACCAGTGTCTGGGGTTCCCTTTAATGCCTTTGACAAGGGTCTTGCCCAGGGACCTTTGACGAGGGTCCCACTCTGTGTCACACCCTGCACCTCCACCCTGTCATGAACTTAGCCCTCCCAGAGTCCCTCCACCTTCCCTATTCTGTCCTCCGAATTGGACCAGAGGAGCTGGGCCTCGAGGAGTCACTTCTGCCCCGACCAGGGACAGAACCACCATGAGGGAAGGAGTCTCGCTCTTTCTTGGGATACAGCACTGCACGCCGATCTGGCGGGGCGCTGCTTGCCCTCCCCTCTCTGACCACTAACTTCTATTTGCACCCTCCAGCTTTCCCATGTGCCCCCTAATTCAGGGGACCTTGGGGGCTAAGCAGGGGAGAGACAAGTCCCTCCAAACTGAAGGGCTGAGTCACGAAGGGGAGACACCTCCTGGGCCTGGACAACTCTGCTCTCTCACCACCTCAGCACCCTCCATCCCACTGTGAACCGCTGGGCTGACGAGGACTGTCCTGAAGGGGAGACGGGGACACACAGCCACGGTAACTGTGGGCCCTGTCTTCTAGCACCTACACTGGGGGGCCGTGCTGGGACCCTGGGTGGCTCCCACATGCAGGTCTGGTGGTGCCTCTGTGTCTCTTCTTTCTGCCAACAGCCCCCTGCCCACTCCCTCCCCAGGCCCTGTGGAGATTTGAGGGCCTGGAGTTTGCCTTGTTTTCAAGGAATAAAAATGGGTCAGTGTGTGGAGTTCAATGGGACCCACAGGACCTGTGAGATCTGGGGCTGGTGCCCCATGGAGAGCAACACTGTGCCTGTGTAAGTGTCCCTGACACCCAGGGCAGGTCCCAGGACCAGCAGAGCCTGCCCCTGACCTCCCCCACCTGCAGGAAGCCCCAGCTGGTCCAGGCTGACAACTTCATGCTATTCATCAAAAACAATGTCACTTTCAGCAAGTTCAACTTCTCCAGGTCAGCATGGTGGGTCCTGGCTGCCCCAGATCCTCCTTGTCCCGACTGGCCCGACCCCCAGCCCCACCCCCTCTCAGGTCCAATGCCTTGGAGACCTGGCACACCACTTATTTCAAGCGCTGCCGGGGTGACCCAGGCTTCACCCTTACTGCCCTGTGCTCCGCATCAGGGACCTCGTGGCTGCGGCTGGAGGGGTCTGTGAGGACCTGGTGTTGCTGGTGGTTCCGTGGGGGACAGGATCCCGGGAGAGCTCGGGCTGAGGGTCCCTGCCCGTGTGCTGATGGAGCAGTGATGCGCTGTGTGCAGGGCGGGGCTATGGGCATCCATGTCCTCTGGGATTGTGACCTGGACGCCGGGGGCTCCAACGGCGGCCCCACAGCTCCTTCCAGCTGCGGCCCCACTGCCCACCTGCTGCTCCTCAGCCAGGTGCCCCTCCACCTGTCCTCCTGTGGTGGCCGGGACAACCCTAGCCTGGCCCATCCCTCTGGACACTCTGCTGTGTGTGCGAGGGGTCCCCAGGGCAGGAGGGGGTGCTCTCAGCTCCAGGTCCCCCAGCACAGGCTCCATCCAGCCTCCCTCTTGAGCATTTGGCCTCCACCCCATATGTCCCCACACCCCTGCTGCAGCTGGGACCCCTCACCCCCAGCCCCTCCTCCACTCCACCCTGCCTCCAGGGTTTCCCTCCACTGCACAGTGGGGTTTCTTTTTTCCTTCTCCCTTAAGGTTTTATCTAAACAATTACAAAAATCCATAGAAAACTTCAAAGATTAGTGCCATGAAAACCCATATAGCCTTCATTTGGGTTCACTAGGTGTTTTTTTTTTTTTTGCCCCATTTGGTCTCTCCCTCCCTCTCTAGAGTGAGACGGATATATGTAGATAGATTTCACAGGAAACCATTGGAAAATAAGCGGCAGATATCTGGACACTCACCCTCTGAATGCTGTCCTGAGAATGAGGACCTTCCCTGGGTGACCGCTGGCCTCCTGTCACACTCAGGAAGTCTAACATTGGTGGATAAATCTAATATTTAAATTTCCCCAGCTGTGCCAGTAACAGTCGTAAATTTTTTTTTTTTTTTTTAATATTTTATTTTTTTAATTTTATATATATATATTTTTTTATTTATTTATTTTTCCCCTAAAGCCCCAAGCGATAGTTGTAAGTCATAGTTGCACATTCTTCTAGTTGCTGTATGTGGGACGTGGCCTCAGCATGGCCGGAGAAGCAGTGCGTCTGTACGCGCCCGGGATCCGAACCTGGGCAGCCTGCATCGGAGCGCACGCACTTAACCGCTAAGCCACGGGGCCGGCCCCAATTTTTTTATTTTCTGATCCAGGATGCGCTCAAGGATCTTGTGTTGCATGTATTGTCCTGAGTCTCCTAAGCAGACGCCGCCGTGCACCCTTCAGTCACCTCACGTCACCTTGTCACCCTCATGCATACGAACACACAGCCCCCAGGCCTGGAGGTGAAGCCCCTGACACTGCTCGCTGGGCCCAGCCTAGCCTGGCGTTGCTGACCTCCTCAGCCCTTTGCAACCATATGGGGGGACCCCGCCCACAGCCTGCTCCCCTCACCTCGTGCTCTCGCCCTCCCTGCGTCTCTGCCTAGAACTCCTTCCTGACCCCTGGGAAACCAGCCTGAGAGTCTCCCGGCAGGAAGCCTTCCCTGGTTCCTAGGGGAGAGTGAGTGACCCTCTCTGGACCCTCACAGCCCCGGCCTGCCACCACCTTGCCCACCCCCACTGCTGGTGTCTGTGTAAGGGGACCCTTCTGTCCCCATCCCCTCAGCAGGCAAGGAGCTTCTGAGAGGCAGGTCCCAGCTAGCTGGTCCCCTTTGTCTGCAGCAATGACATAGGGCTGAAACCCAGGACTCGGGCTGGGGGTGAAGGAGTCAATGGGTGAGGAAGATGAGGCCTGTGAGGGCCAGCCCAGCCCAGGAGTGGGCAGAGCAGGCCACTAGACTAGCTCCTGCCCCCAGGACAGCCACTCACTGGTGGGAGGCCTGGTGGGCCTCAGGCGTGGCGGCCCGGAGCCTGCTGAAGCTCCACCAGATCCGCTTCAACATCCTTGTCACTGGGCAGGTAGGGGCCAGGCTGGGGGTAGGTGGGGCAGGGGCGAGGGGTGGAAGGGTGCGACAGCCACAGCCAGAGAGGCTCAGCCTCAGGCAGGGAAGTTCCGGCTCATCCCCACAACCCTCACTCTGGGCACCAGAGTGGCTTGGCTGGGGGTGGTGAATCTGGTCAACGTGGCTCATGCTGGCTGCCGGCAAGCATGTGCCCCCCGAGTGCAGCTGAGCCCCTGTGCTGACATGAGTCTCAGGGTGAAGGCTGGGGAGGCGGCAGGATGGCAGGTTGGGGGCCAGGACGTGAGTCTGTCCTGCCTCTCCCAGCTCACCTTCTCCTGTGACCTGCTGCTGTTGTACGTGGATGGGGAAGCCCATTTCCCCTGGAGGACCAAGTCTGAGGAGGGGAGCTGCAGGCCTGCCTGGACCCTGGGCCACACTTTGGAGGATGGTGGCTGGAGCTCCGGCCTGCTGTCCTCATCTGCAGGCAAAGGCCCCAAAGGGCACTGCCAACCCTGAGCAGAGCTGGCTTTCCCACCCCCACACCCGGCTGCCCAGGTGACTTAGAGGGGGCCCAGCACCTGCCCCCACTGCTGCTGCTGGTCTCCAGGGTGGCCCTGGCACCCACCCTCTGGCACATTCCTGTGGCCTGTGGCCTTTCTCTGCTTGTTGTGGGGTGGGGGCTGGGAAGGGTGGGGGCCCTGTCTTGGGGACTCATGGATGAAGCTCTAGCAGAACCAGGGCAGGGGCTGGGGGGAGAACTCCATCCTTCAGCTCTCAGACTATACCTTCCCAACTCCAGCCAGGGTGCTGTCTGGGACCACAGAAGCCAGTTTTGTCTAGAGACCTGTAGGGGAACACGATACAGGGTCTGGTCCAGTGGGGCTCCTGCTGGGTCTGGGTCTGGAGAACGCTCTCCCAGTCTGTCTCCAGTGTTCCCAGCAGCTCCCCACTCACCAGCTGTCCCCACATTGGTTTTGGTCGACTCGGGCCCTGCCTGGCTCCCAGCCCTTCTCCCCCTGCCAGCACTCCCCTCACAGTTGAGCCCCTCCCCTCTCAGCGGCCCTGCATGGGGGTCTGTGCAGCCACAGTCCAAGGCAAGGGAGAAAGAAGCCTGACAAGAGGAGTCGTCTCAGCTGCTCTGGGGCTGGGTTCCTAGGGCAGGTCCCCTCCCAGCTCTGGGCCTTATCCATGGAGCGAGGAGTATGGTGGGCAGACGATCTGATGCCTTAGGACCCCAGGCAAGGGCAAAGGCACCTCTTTGTCCCAAACCTGCTCAGCTTGTGAGGACCAGCCCCTTCCTGGTGGCAGCCCTCAGGCTGGGATAGAGGAAAGGTGGAAGGGCTGAGTTGGTGGACATGGGGTTCTTTGGGACCTTCTATATGTCTCCTTGGTGACCCCCAGCCCACTGCCCTGGAACCTGCTCACCGAGCTTCCTGGGAGCCATGGGGTGGGAAGGCTGAATAGCTGGACACATATGTCACTACTGCCCAAGGTCACACCTGAGATCGTGTCTGGGCAGCTGCCCACCCCAGCCTGAGGCAACTGCATGGGGACCACACTCTGACGAAGACTCCAGGGGCTGGAAAGAATGTCCCTAACAGAGGACATGGAAGGCCCCCAGCAGGCTGGCCTGGTTCTGGCTTTGGAATCCCACCAGGCCTGAGTCCTGCCTGCTGGAGAATTTCCCCGATCCCCCGGGACCACGCTCAGGAGGAGAGGGATGGGGGCTGCCAGAGCCAAGCCCTCTCTTGGTCCCAGGGCAGGGACAGGGACTTGGAGGTACCCACTCCAGGGAGAAAAGGGGCTGCCTTCTCATGGGTCCCTGGTGACCAGGGGCATGGTGGCAGCTTGCTGGTGGAGGGACATGGACCAGGTTGGGGAGGGCCAGGGCTGGGGCCCAGGCTGGGCAGTATCTGGAATCATCTGGCCCCTGGAGCCTCAGCAAAGCCTTGGGGTCCCTGCTCCTCTCAATCCCCAGAGCCGAGTCCATGTGAGGCGGGTTCAGAAGGGCCAGGGTGAGAGAACACGGCCCTGAGCCTGGTCATTGGAGCGGGGTCACGGGTACCTGGTTGTCCTTGGGGCCCAGAGAAAGCTGAGGTCAAGGCTGCAGAGAGCCGAGGAGTAAAGCTGCCAGAGACAGCAGCTTCCTGTGTGGCCCTTCCAGGCAGGAACGGGGAGGGGGAGGCGTCTGTGGTAGACGTAGCATGGCCTTAGGGAGACCAATGGGAGTGCAGGGTGGGCCTGGGGACCCCCAAAGATGGGGCCCCACCGCCACCAGGTGGGCTGGAAGGTACCTGGAGCAGGCCCAGGCGCTTGTGCACCCACCTGCATGCGTGTGTCCCATCCCAGGCATTTATCACAAACCCCTGAGGGGCGGGCAGGGAGAGAGGCAACTGGGGAGCTGCGGGCAGCCCTGAGCTTGGAACCAGCTGTGTCTCAGTCTGCACGTGGGTGTTCACCCCCAGGGGAGCCGTGTGGCCTGTGCCTGAGAGATGCGTGTACCCGGGCAGGTGGGCCTCTATACCCAGGGCAGGCCTCAGGCACGTGCCCTGCTCTCTGGGAGCCCTGGGAAGCCGAGGGAACACCGGAACTCCACTGTCCTTTCTAGGCGGACTCCTTGGGGTACAGGCTCTGCTCTCTGGATCTGCCCCCAAGGGGATACGGGGGTAGCCTGGGAGGTGCCTGATCCCGCCCTGCCAGGCCCCCTCTCTGCCTGGTGTGTGTAGCTCCCCTCTGAGCTGGGCAGAGGACATGGCCTGAGGGCCGGACCCTGAGACCTAGGCCTGGCCATGTCCCTGACTCAGGCTGTCCCACGGCTGGTGCATCCCCCTTATGGAACTTTGGCATCTGTATTCTGGACTGGGGACAATCACTTGGTTCTTGGGAGCAGGTGAGGACTCAGTGCCACAAAGAACACCACAGTGGAGACGGTGACAGACCACCTGGCTGGCTGAACAGTTATTATTGTGGATCACTGGGTCTGCAGGCCTCTTCTCTGCTCGCCCTACTCCACCTGCCCAGGTAGCTGGAGTTGGTCATAAACTGGAAGGCGCTGGGCAAAGAGTCCACCACACCAGTACTGACCAAAGCCCACTCCCAAGGACTCGAAGCTTGGCACATGGGCTAAGGTCCTGAGGAGCCCCCGGCATTGGCACCCCTGGAAACATGAGCCGCCCTGAATAGAAGAGGCTGCCAGCCAATGGGGAAGGGCAGGCAGGCCCCCAGCGGTCCTCATGGACTGGCAGGCTGCTCCGTGTGGCCAGGATCCTGGGCCAGTGTCTGACTGAGGGGCTACAGGGCCTGCACCGTCTCCTCCAGGCTGCTGCGTGGGGCAGTCAACCTCGGCCGCTCCCGCTGGTTCTCCTTGCTGTGCCGGATGCCGTAGCCAAAATACACCGTGAGTCCTGCAAGGGTGGCACAAGCCTGAGGGGCAGGTCCCACCCCTGCTTCCCTGTTGGCCCTCCTCCTGCAGCCCACCTGGTTCCCAGCCTGGCCCCCACTCACCAATCAGCAGCCAGATGGAGAAGCCCAGCCAGGTCAGGGAGCTCAGATGCAGCATGAGGAAGATGTTGAGGAGGATGCTCAGGGCTGGAGTCAGGGGCACCAGGGGAACCTGAGGGACAAGGGCAGGGCTGGGCTGGGCTGTGGGAAGGTCTGCTGACCCAGTGCCTGATTTCTCAGGAGTCCACAGAGCCTTTCTCTGCCTCTGGAGATTCTGGAGACAAGGACCCACTCATCATGCAGAAAGAGGGGGATGGGGGACTGGCCTCCCCCGCCCTGTGAGCCCTGGTGCACCCTGCCACGGCAGAGGAGGAAGGGGTGAGGGGAGCTGGCTGGGCTGAGAGTGATGGGTGCTGCTGGAGGAAGTACCTGGAAGGTGTCCTGCCGGCGCTGTTGCTGGTGGGCCCCCAGGACAAGGAGACTGAGCAGAAACATGACAGAGCTGAGCAGGAGCAGCAGGGTGTACCCCCAGAGAGGGAGGTGCAGGGCCGAGTCCCCGAAGACCAGCACGCAGTCCAGAGTGATGGCCGAGGCCACCAGGACACCGAGTGCCCAAGCCACGGTGGCTCCAGGCCGGCACCCACCCAGGAAGCCAAGGTAGGATCTCAGGGCTGGTCGCAGCTGCCCAGGCTCAGGGGCTGAGGCCTGCTCTGTGCCCACCAGCTCCGTGTGGCCTGATGAGTCATCATACTCCCTGGCCACGGAGCCAGGGCTGGCTGGGCCCGAGGAAATGGATGGAGGGCACTTTTGGAAGCGTAGCACCATAATGCTGGTGGCCATAAAGGTATAGGTCAGCAGTACACCGAAGGACAGGAACTGCACCAGTGCCTCGAGGTCCAGCAGCAGAGCCAGGAAAGCCATGAGGACCCCGAACACCAGGATGCCCACCACAGACACCTGTATCCGGGGGTGCACGTGGGCAAACACCTGGAAGATGAGCCCATCGACGGCCATGGCATGGACCATGCGTTGCAGGGAAAAGAGGTTGTTGATCAGGACAGTGGTCATGCCTATGGCAGAGGGTGGGAGACTGGTTAGCACAGTGAACAGGCCATCCAGGGGTCACTGCTGGGGGCCAGGGCATGGGTGGCCCCTTGGGAACATGGGCATGAGCTTGCCTGGACTCGCAGAGTGAGCCTGAGTGTGTGTGGGGTGCTGGACTGTTCCCCCTCACCTCCCAGGAATGGAACATACCACTTTAGGTGACAGAGCCACTAGAGAGTTTGCCAAGGGCTGAGTCCCTCTGCCAGCAAAGGACCCGGAAGCACGTGCCCAGAGCTCACATTCCATGTACAATTGGGAGGGGCGGTGAGTAGGTCCCTCTCAACAAGCCTGGGTGGAGAGTCTAATCATTAGCACCTTCCTGGGCCCATGATGCAACTGGGAACACAGGCCCAGATGGAGATGTGTTCCCTGGGAGGCTTAGGGCAGGGCCCCACCGCCCTGTCCCCTCCCAAATGCCCGGAAGGGCCCCTTACCACAGATCGCACCAGCCGCCACGATGACGCCCGCCCAGCTATAGCCCCGCTGGTAGAAGGCATCAGCAAGCGCCGAGTCAGGGTCCAGGCTGTGCCAGGGCACCATGAGGGTGAGCACAGTGGAGGCGAGAATGTAGGTGCCAGCTGCTAGGCCAAGCGAGATGACAATTGCTATAGGCACAGATCGCTGCGGGTTCCGGGCCTCCTCGCTGGAGCCAACAATGACACCAAAGCCCACAAAGGTGTAGAAGCAGGTGGCGGCACCGGCCATGATGCCGGAGAAGCTGAAGGGTGCAAAGCCCCCTTCCTCAGCACTCCAGTTGTGCGGGCGGGCCAGGACAAACCCCAGGATGATGATGAAGAGGACAATGACCAGGTTGATGGCAGAGAAGGTGCGGCTGAGCCAGGAAGAGACACGGGCTCCACAGGGGACGAATGCGGAGATTAAAAGTAGGATGGCAGCAGCCAAGAAGTCTGGGTACTGGGCCAGGAAGGGCACCTGCCAGATGCCCACATGGGCCTCAGTGAAGCTGTGGATGCGGTGGCTGAAGATGACGTCCAGGTGGCCACTCCAGGTGTGGGCCATGGCAGCACCAGCAATGAGGCACCGGAGGAGAACGATCCAGCCAATGAGGAAGGCCCACAGCTCACCCATGGACACGTAGGTAAACAGGTAGGCACAGTCCCTGCCAGACGCACGTGTCCCAAACTCTGTGTAGCATAGGGCTGCCAGCAGGAAGGCCACGGCAGCCACAGTGAAGGACACGACCACCGCAGGGCCGGCCATCTCCTTGGCCACGGTGCCCATGAGCACATAGAGGCCGAAGCCCATCATGGTACCCACACCCAGCAGGGTCAGGTCCAGCGTGGTCAGGTGGCGCCGCAGCGACGTCTCCCTGGTGGTCTCCTCCACTGTCTTCAGCCGGTTCAGCTTCTGGCAGAAGCGCACCAGGCCCGCAGTGCTGGGCAGTCCCCGGGCCATGGTGGGCAGCTGAGAGGAGCACCAAGCCAGCTGCCGGCACCTACAAGGGTGAGAGGGAGTGACAAGCTGCCCTGCTGGGTGCTGACTAGCCCTCAATCCTTGCTCTGATCCTGCCCTGGGGACCCAAGCCTTGAACCACTGGCCAGTTGGAGGGCTGGATGAGGCAGGGGTCAAGGTCCATGAGCAGGGTGGGCAGGAGGTCACAGGAAGCATGGAGACCACTTTGGCCTGCCTCCCAGGCAAGTGAGGGGCCCTGGTAGAGCTGGACCTGAGCGTGTTTGAGAGGGGCTCTGAGGGTGGGGAGTGGGCAAGCCCCACGGAGCCCAGCTAGGAACCTCTCCAGTGGTCTGGGATCCCAGAAGAGAGTGGAGACCCGAGGTTTCCCAGGAGCTGGGCCAGGCCTCCAGGACCAGGAACAGGAGTGTTCTGGCAGAGGCGGCCACCTGCCCTCAGACAGCAGTGCTCATCACCCTCCTCCCCGCCCCACCAGGCTAGTGTATCAGCCCACGCTGCCAGGAGTGCGGGCTGCCCTGGGCCACGCGCCTGAAGACAAGGCCCCGCACCCTGACAGGCCACCACCATGCCACTGACACATCTACTTTCACTGTGCCCCTGTCCCCAGTACCCGAGCCTTCACCTCCTCTCTGGCCTGAGTCTGTCCACACAGGAGTTGCTGCCACTCACCTTCTGTCACCATTGCTGCCACTGCTCTGTGCCTACCCCCACCCCTGGGGACATATCCAGAACTGGGCACCACCTCCAGGTCCCACAGGTACTCAGCACACCCTACCCACACCTCACACTGTCAAAACCAGAGCTCACTGGATTCTAGGGAAGCCCTATTACTGTGCCCGCTTCACAGATGTGAAAACTCAGGCCACCAGGTAAGTGAGTAGCCCAGATGACTGGGGCGGCCTTGGGAGGCTGGTGAAGGTTAAGGTCCAGGTCTAGGGGTATATCTGGAGCCCTGCGCTTTCCCTGCTGCAGACACTCTCCTTGATCCCTCATCCCAACACATGTACTCCACCAGCTGGGCACCATCCAGGCCCCTCAACACTGGGAAGTGTGGGGGCTGCGGGATTCAGGCAAAACTCTGGTACGAGGAGGGTATGAATCTGGCTGAGAGGCCCTGGGCAGTCCCTGACCTCCCAGCACAATGGGATGGCAGGAAGCCACCCTCATCCATTGACAAGGGAGTGCCTGGCTTTGGGGAGTGTTCTGTGAGTTGGCAGAACTCATGCTGGCTGTTCTGAGCTTCTAGCTACAGACAGTGTCCTGAAAGGAGGCAAGCAGACTCCTGGGGACAACTACAGCCCTCCAGCCTGGAGCACCCTAGGGCCCCTCAGACACCAATGGCAGACCCCTCCTAGCCCAGGAGCACCTGTCAAGCATGGAGGACCCTGGGGGAGCCTAACAGCAGTTCCCCACTTGTGGATATCCGTGAGAATATCATGGACTGAGCACCTACTCCATGCCAGTCCCTGCATCACAGGAGACACATCACGTGTCTCATCACGTGACCATCACAAACCCCCCTCAGTCTTATTTATTCCTGGAGGTGAGGGATCTTTGTCCTTCTGCTCCTCCCACTTCTTTGAAACTGGAAAGGTTGGTGTCACAGGGTGTGAACTTGTTTACAGCAAAATGATGACAATCTATCAAAGCAAAGCAAAACTAAAACAGACATCCTCTTCCCCTAGAACTTCCATGTTTTCAGGTTTGTATGTGGTTTGTGGAATAAGATTTTAGGGGCACCTGCAGGCTGTCTGCATCAGTGTGCTGGTGACAGGATGGTGGACTCCCAGACAAGATGGTGCCACTTAGAACACTCTGCCTTAACCAGTCCCCTTGCTCCTTCTGATATTTGGCTGATAGTGTCTTGAGGAACTTCTCAGATGGGCTCCCACTTCCTGCAGGGATGACATCTCCCGTACCTCGCTCCTTGTGGCCTAAACATAACTGAGCAGATGTTCCTTCTTCTGAAATGCCTTCACAAAAATCCAGAAAAATGCATTTCCAACCAAGAGGGTAGGGCAGTTTCATAACAGGAGCTCCCCCAAGGCCTTACGGATGACACCTGAGAGCTGGTGTGCAGGGTTTCAGAGCACTGACTTCTTATCTACCCAGAGAGGGGCTCTCAGCACACCTACTTTCACAGGCACCAACATCCAATGGATATTTGTGGCCAAGTGTGGTTGACGCAGTCAACTGTAAACTTTCAGGGACGTGGCTGGGCCAAGTGCTGGACCCCACTGAGCAAGGCAGTTACATAGAGCAACACCATGAAGATGCAGTGAAGAGAAAGCACCAAAAAGTACAAGAAGAAGAAGAGAGAACACTTCCCACCTCATCCTACAAAGCCAGGATCATCCTGACACCAAACCCAACAAAGACACCAGAAGAAAAGACAACTACAGACCACTATCTTTTATGAATATAGATGCAGAATTGCTCAACTGGATACTAGCAAATCAAATCCAGCAACATATAAAAAGGACCAAGTGGGATTTATTACAGGAATGCAAGACCGATTTACCACCTGAAAATCAATGTAATATGCCATACTATTAGAATAAAGGACAAAACCGCATGATCATCTCAACAGACACAGAAAAAAAGTCAACAAAACCTGGAACAGAAGGGACTGCCTTGAACTGATGAAGACCATCTATGATAAACCCTCGGCTACTACACTCAATGGTGAGAGACTGAAAGCTCTCCCTTTGATCAGCAACAACCTCAGGATGTCCTTTCCCACCAGTTGTACTCAACATTTTACTGGAGGCTCTGGCCATGGCAATTAGGTGAGAACATGAAATAAAAGGAATCCAGATTGGAAAGGAAGAAGTCAAACTATCTCTAGTCACTGATGACATGATCTCATGTAGAGAAAATCCTAAGGAATCCACACACAAAATATTAGAACTAATAATCAAGTTCAGCAAAGGTGCAGGATACAAGATCAACATACAAAAATCAATTGTATTTCTATACATTAGCAATGAACTATCCAGAAATGAAATTAATAAGACAATTCTGCTCACATAGCATCAAAAAGAATAAATATATATATATATAACAATATTTTGAATAAATTTAACAAAAGAAATCCAAGACTTGTGCACTGAAAACTACTAAACATCATTAAAAAAAGTAAAAGAAGACCTAAATAAGTGGAAAGACATCCCACCTTCATGGACTGAAAAACTTACTGTTGTCATTATGGCAACACTCCCCAAATTGGTCTGCAGATTCAGTGCAATCTCTATCAAAATCCCAATTGCTTATTTTGCAAATTATCAAGTTGATTCTAAAATTTATATGGAGATGCAAGGGACCAAGAATAGTCAAAACAATATTGACAAAGAACAAAGTTGGAGGACTTACACTTTCTGATGTCTAAAGTGACTACAAAGCTACCGGAATCAAGACTGTGTGTTACTGAAATAAGGACAGATGTATAGATCAATAGAATAGAATTAAGAATCCAAAAATATGGGCAATTTTTGAAAATGTATGGCCAATTTAAATTTATGGCCAATTGATTTTTTAAAAATAGACTTTATTTTTTAGAGCAGTTTTAAGTTCACAACAAAATTGATCAGGAGGTGGAGTACCCCCAGCCCCTACACATGCACAGCCTCCCCCACTATCAACATCCCCTACCAGATTGGTACATTTGTTACAAGTGATGAACATTTAATGACATGTCATTATCACCTAAAGTCCACAGTCTACATTACGGCTCACTCTTGGTGTTGTACATTCCATGGGTTTTGACAAATGTACAAGGACATGTATAGACTATTACAGTATGCCCTAAAAATTCATCTCTGCTTCACCTACTCATCCCTCCCTCCCCACTAACCCCTGGGAACCAATGATCTTTTTCACTGTCTCCACAGTTTTGCCTTTCCAGAATGTCATACACTGGGAATCACATCATACAGTACGTAGCCACTTCAAGACTGGCCTTTTTCACTTAGTCATACGCATCTAAGGTTGTCTTATGTCTTCTCATGGCTTGATAGTTCCTTTCTTCTTAGTGCTGAGTAGTATTTCCTGTCTGGATGTACCAGTTTATTTACCCATTCACCCACTGAAGGACATCTTGGTTGCTTCCAAGTTTTGGCAATTACAAATAAAGCTACTGTAAACACTCACATGTAGTGTGTGTAGACATAAGTTTTCAACCCATTTGGGTAAATACCAAGGAGTGTGGTTGCTGAATCATGTGGTAAATGTACATTTAGTTTTATAAGAAACTGCCAAGCTGTCCTCCAAAATGGCTGTACCATACTGCATTCACACCAAATGAAGGAGTGTTCCTAGTGCTCCACATCCTCAGCAACATTTGGTGTTGTCCATGTATTGGATTTTTCCCCTTCTAACAGGTGTGTAGTGGTATCTCATTTTAATTTGCAATGCCCTAATGACATAAGATGTGGAGCATCTTTTCATAGCCTTATTTGCCAACTGTATATCTTCTTTGGTGAGGTATCTGTTCAGATCCTTTGTGCATTTTTAATTGGGTTGTTGATTTTCTTACTGTTGACTTTCAAGAGTTCTTTTGGAGAGAGGTGTCAAGATGGTGGCGTAGGTGGACTCTGAACTCATGTCCTGGACACAACAAATTTACAACTACTATTGGAACAATTACCCCTGAGAGAGAACTGAAAACTGGATAAAAAGAACCACTGCAACAAGGGACAGTCCTGACTGAGGTGGAAGAGGCAGAAATTCCTTTCTGGAGAGAAAAAAAAAGCCACCTTCACAAGCTGTGGCACTTCATCGCTGGCTGGGAGCAATCCTAAGGTACACAGCTTTCTCTGGAGGAGTGGGGGACCTGAGCAGGGAAGCATTACTGCTATAAGCATCTTTTGGACTCAGCACAACCAAGACGAGTGACATAATATCTGGCTTTGCTGGCTATTAACTACAACGAGGAATACCCTCAGAAAAGCTATCAGACATAGGGGAAAAAGCTTGCTCTGAAAGGGCACATGCACAATTCACCCATTTTGGAAAGCAACCTAAAAT